CCGCCTTCCCGCCCTCGGGTTGTGCGCTGAGGGGTGCCCTCCGCCGCCGGTGGTGCCCCGGGTCCGTCTCGCAGCGGCGGAGCAGTGGGCAAAGCCCGCCTCGGAGGAGAAAGAACCGACCTGCTTAGGTACTGACCGCCCCCCCTCAAGACGCTGGCTGCCTTTCGGTGGTTCCCGCCATCGCTGGTGCCTCCATGGTCCCTCGCCGGAGGGCTCCGTTTGCCTCTTGTTGTCCCCCGGAGACCTTGGCTGTGTGGAATTGCCCTCAGGTCCGCCTGCCTGACCCCTCAATTTGCTCTGTAGGCCACCCCAGAGCACTCTAGGTGCTTTCTGGTGGTCCCTCGACCGCTCTGTGTACTCTTTGGTGTTCCCCTGAGCATTCTGTTCGTTTCTGTGCACCCCGTGGCTGTCCAGGTGTTTTTTGGTGTGTCCTATAAGCCTTCAGTGTTCCCTGAAGCGCTCATTTCTTCAGCATTATGTGGGTTTCTGGGTACACCAGAGGGTTGTTTTCAGGCTGGGCAGCACCCAGCAGTGCAGATGTCTGCCCCATGGAGTGGGCTAGCAGATGGCTCTGGGCATCTCCCCTGGCTTCAGCTCTGGAGCCCTCTGTCCTGCCCCAGCACAGCATCCTTCCTCCCAGCCTGGCCCAGGAAGGATGCTCTGGAAGAGCAGGAGCAGGTCGCAGCTCCTGCTTTTACTGCAGTGCTGGAGGCAGAGAGACTGCTAAGTGAGGAGACAATAATGTTTCCCAAAGCCCATCTCTTCTGCTCTTGGTCTGACCCAAGGCAGCCTGCGTTTGTGTGCAGGACCCTGTGAACATGGGAAGGTTCCACCATATCTCCACCTCAGCTTTTCACCTGTTTCCCTGGTTCTCTGCAGATGAGGCCAGGCTATGTGTTTTGTTTTGGTTTCCCTGTGTTTGCTATCAGGAAAGGCTTGCTGGGGAAAGCTGTTGCTCGTGAAATTTCCTTTTCCCAGGAGAGCCGTGGCCTGGTGCGCCTGATTCCAGCAGTCCTGCCTATGGCACAGTGCTTGGGCTGTGAGCAGAGGAGACATGTTCCTTGCTGTAGTGTGGAGAGCAGCCTGCACTGAGGGCTGAGCTGTGTGCGTAAGGCAAGGTTGCATGATGGGGGAAATAAAGCTGTGTGTTTTATTTTTGTAGCCTGTCCTGAGCTGTAGAAGCTTAGTAGAAACCAGGCAAGTAGGCCTGAACCTGTACCTGCCTCCACCATCATCCTGACCCCATAGCTGGTGGGAAGAGTAGCTTCTTCTCCAGTGCCACCATCTGAACAAGAAGCATTTCCAGCCCTTCCAGGCCAGCATTCCCAGCTGTCATCCCCCCGAGGGGGGTGAAGCACCAGCTGCCCCAATCCTTCTTGCAGGGTTTAGGTACTGGGGACTGCGGAGTTGCAGCAGCTTGATATCGGAGTTCTTCCCGACTGGAAAGTGCTCTTCCAGCCTGAACCACTGGATGGGGCAGGAGGAAAAGATGTCGTTTGATCTCAACTGCATTCCTCAAGACTCTGTTCCCTGCTGAGCCAAAGCTGGCAGCAGTCCTCTCGCTCCCCACACAGAGCGGCCACGGAGTCACTGTGCCATCCAGCTAGGTTCTGCGCTGACTCCAGCCACCCCAAAAATGGCAAAAGAATAAACTTGTGGAGACTGGCGTCTACTTGTAAGCATAGCTCAAGCACCCTGGAGGCCCAGGGCACTTCTAAAAGCCACAAAGGACTTAAGTGACGGGGGGGGGGGGGGGCAAAAACCCTGTAGGTCTTTTTTGTCCCCACATAACTCAGGGTTGGAGCAAAGGGTTCTGGCCCCTTCCCTCAGCTGCTCCAGTTGGGTCAGACTAAAACGGAGAGGCTTTAAAACCCAGCTTAAGCTTTGTGAATTGTCTTCCTAGGAGCAAAAGCCTCATAACGAAGCTTTTAATGGCTGTTGTAAACAAATCAATATCTCCAGCTATACATCTGAAATGAAAGAGGCTGAAGGAACTATGAAGGTTTTTAATGTCCAAATAAATTACTCCTGCCGTGGCAACAGCAATGTGTGGAGCATTTGATTATTCCCAGCCATTAGTGGTGCTGGCAAGGACAGAAGTATTCATGCTCTGTATTTAACTGGAAATTAAGAAAATGTATCATTTGGTGACAGGAACTTTTACAAATGGCTGCTCCCCCTTTGATCAGCTCCCCAACTAATGAATCCCTGGCAGGACTTTGGGAAACTTGATTTACAGCTCAGACCTGCTGGTGGGTGTTTGCCGGAGGATGCGTTCCTGAAAATCCCCCAGTAGATGGAGGTGTGCTGGGATTCTCCTGCTTTTTGAGGGAATGCTGGAGGCTCGTTTAAGGTTTGCTTTGGGAGCAGGGAAGAATGACTTACGAGGGAAAGCCGGCTGTCCGCCCACCAGGCAGCAACTGCTGCCTGCTGCGCTCCCGGTACTTTTCCACCTGCCTGCCTGCGCCGTGCCGGGGCTGTGGGGAGCTTTGGGGTGACACCGAACATGGGGGATGTCTCCTAGATGCACGCAAGTATTGGAGGGGGGGTGGAAAGTTTAGGAGAAGAGTAGGAAGAGGTGGGGGAAGCGGTCCTGTGTGAATGCCGCAGCTGCTGTGATGGACTTAAAACCTTGTTGGTCACGTCCATGGGACTGCTGAACTGCTTGGTGGGTCCCAGGGGTGGGATGCACTGACCGCTCTGGACCCACAACACGGGTAGCGTAGCAACGGGGATATTCCCCAGCTGCAAGGCTTAAAAATAGAGCTGGGGAGTGTGGAACTTGCAGCCTTCTGGGGTTACGGGGACCTCTGCCCCCTGCCAGCAGCAGACCTCGGCTCGACTCGGCGGGCGCTTGCCCCAGGCTGCTGGAGGTTTGGTTTCTGTGTGGGTCAGGGGCACTTCTGCATGCACCCATGTCCCCAGGCGTCCAGGGACCCTGCTGCAGTGGCTGAGGCTGTTGATGCCACACAAGTGAGGTCACCTCTTGTTGAACTGACGCACCCCTCTCTAAATGACCTGTAAACTAAAGATTATCTGGTAATTTCCCTGTGCTGGAGCAGAGCTACAGGAGTGCTTATTAACCCACTGGTGCTATTCATACGCAAACAACTGGAGCTCATCTCAGTAATAAAAGGCATTTTAATACCTGCTTGGCTGCTGACAGCGACTAGGAGGGTTTTGGCTTTCAGTGCAGATCCTTTTTGCAGACAGACACCCCAGGGTCAGCATCTCTGTCTGATTTTTTCCCCTTCCAGAGCATGCCGTCTGCTTTCAGCCTTGCCTTGTTATTGCTGCAGAGCTACTTCTGGTCATGCTCGTACCTCGGGGCACAAGGAAGAGGTTGAAGCCTCAGAAGAGGTAAACGGTTTGATTTCTCTAAGGTCTGACTAGGAAGGCCTGTTCCCGAGCAGCCTTCCTGTGCCCTGGCTCAGTGCTATGTCTGAAAAGGCTACAACATGGCTCGCACTAACACAGCTTGGATTTTTTTTGTCCTTAGAGAGTGTGGCTCTGAGCAGGGAGGCTCTGGAGAAGGCCAGCAGGCGAAGGACCATCCCACAGAGATGGTTTCAGAGCTCAGGACAGCATCAGTGACTTCTGCCTTTGCAGGCGCCTGGCTCATTTGTGATGAATGGTGATGATCTGACCTTTTGTGCTCTCATTTCTTGTGTTTTGTTGCCAGGTAAAGCACTTGTACTAGAAAATCCAGGATTTCACAGACCCGCCAATGGCTGCAAAATCAGATACAAAAATAACTCCTCAAGCTCAGTGATATATAAATCATCAGTAGCACGGTCACAGTGCAGGCTCGCACCTCCAGCTGAGGAGAAGTCCTCAAGGTCCCGACGGAGCAATCAAGATGAGATTGAGGGGTTGAAAGCAGATGAGGGATGTGATGAACTGTAAATCCTCTGGAGCTGTTGGGGCCGGCAGCAGCAAGACGAGGCTGTACCTCTCCCCAGCGTTGGTCTGACTGTGCCCACGCAACGTCTCGCATTGTTCTTGGCAAATTTCCCTTACAAACGAAAGGAAGAAAAATGGGCAAGGCTGGTCCGGACGCAAGCGCCAGCCTGCAGCCGCCGAGAATAACACCGGCAATCGTTTCTGACTGCAGGAACCTGCTGCAGAGCTGCTAGATGGACTGGCTGGGTCAGTGGCTTGTTTAATTCAGTTCTATTTATTTTGTCATTTAGGACTCTTGGCAGTTTGAAATGATCATTTCAAACTAGGTTGGTGCTTGCAAATGAGGGGCTTACAGCAGAGCTGAGCTCCCGTGGCTCTGCATGTACACGTGGGACCTGAATCTAAGAGGGTTTCCCCACATCCCAGGGGAAATCGGTGGGACTCCGAGTCCTTGCACAGGCTACCAACCAGACCAGTGTCTTCAGAGGTGCTAACATCTTTGAGGGTGCTGCAGGGAGGAAAGAATGACAGTTTGCAGAGTGGGACAGCTTGCTTCGCTGCGCTTCTCTGCTTGCGCAGG